TTCTTTTTTTTTCCTAGTAACTCCCAACTTAATAGTGGTTACTTGCAGCCTTGTTGGGAGTGAATGCAAATAAAAAAAAAATATATATATATATATATATCATGAATTGCAGTATTTATTGATATGAAGTGTTCATTATATTGGTATGATATGATGGTGCTAGTGCAATTGATGGTCACACTAAAGGTTTGTCCTTTTGTATTTTAAATCTGAATGAAAAAGCTGCATATGCTCATTGCAACAGTCATAGACTTAATTTACCTATTTGTGCCTCATGCACTAATGGAGAAATTTGACTGGGATTCGGTCATCTTTGTTATTTAGTGTGAATCATTTTTGTCAGATTGAATTCAGAGAGTGGTGATAGGAGAGTATATTTCAAATGTAAAGATGGTTACTAGTGAAGTACCACAAGGTTCAGTACTCGGACCTTTTTTATTTGTAATCTTCATTAATGACTTATGTAGAGGGATTATTAAAGTCACTAAATTATATGCAGACAATACCAAAGTTATTTCAATCAATCATTGTTATGAAGATAATAAATTATTACAAGAGGACATAAGCATGTTAGTAAAATGGTCTGAAGATTGGTTAATTAAATTTAATGAATCGAAATGTAAAATCATGTATATTAGTAAAAAGAATCCTAAATATGAATATAAATTGAACAACTTTGTGTTAACAGAAACAACAATAGAAAAAAATCTAGGAATTTTCATTTCAAATAATCTAGAGTGGAAATATCATTTTAATTCAGCTATAGGCAAAGCAAACAGAACATTTGATCAAAAAATTTTGAGTATTTAGATGAATTTTCATTAAGTTATTATGCAAATCATTAGTATGTCCTCATTTGGAATATGGAGCAACAGTTTGGAGTCCATTTTGGAAGAAAGATATTGATAATCTTGAATTAGTGTAACACAGGGCTACTAGGATCAAATCTTTAAAGGGGTAATCGTTTGAAGAAATGTTAAAAATACTTGAATTGTCAACTTTGCATGATAGAAGAACAAGAAGTGATCTGATTCAAATGTATATGATCTCAAAAGGGAAAGATATTATTTTTAATTTTTGCCATCTTCCATTAAATTTTGAGCTGGAACGATCAAGTAGAAGTAACAATTGCAGAATACGCCGATAATTTACCAATTTGAGAATTTGTCACCATTTCTTCACAGAGTTACAAGGGATTGGAATTCTCTTTCTCAATGGATAATAAGTAAAGATAACTTGAACCTTTTTAAAATCAGCATCAATAAATCTAAACACTATATTTTGTAATCAGCTGTCATAGTCTTAATTTTATGTAATTAAGACTCAACACATCTCAAGCATGTACAGCATCTTTTTTATTCTATTCTATTCTACTACAACAACATCTGTCCAATATCATCTAAAAATTCAATGACCCCTAAAAACATCTTTAGGAAGATGTAAATTCATATGCAAATTTTCTCCAAGTCCAATAACAGCTGGAAGTGTTTCCTCCAGATGTAATTATATCTTTAACTAAAATAATGCATTATTATTTAACAATATTTTCCAGATCTACATCTCGTTAAAATAATGCATTATAATTTAATAATTTAAATTTAATTATATTTAGTATAATTGAAAAGATGTAACTACATCTGTAGAATTCGCAGATGTAGTTGTACAGATGTTGTTATACCTAGATATTTAAAAAGATGGAACTACATCTGTTGTAATCATATATTTTTTACAGAGATGTTATTAGACATCAATGAAATTTTAAATGGTGTTGGACAGATGTTATTATACCTCAGTGTATTTAAAGATGTTGTTAGACAGATGTATTTATACATCATTGTATTTGCAGATGTTGTGGGACAGATGTTATTAGACATAGCAAAAACTGATGTTGTTACCCTGACCCTCTTGATAAACCTGAAACACTAAAAGACAAAAGCAGAAATAGCAACTGCTGCAATAGCAATAGCAGTAAACCAACTCAAGTTTAAAAAGTGCCTTAAAATTTTGTGTTAAGCTTCAATAAGTCAAAGTAGTAAATGCAAAAAAAGTTAAAATACAAGGTTTGACTTCACATCACAAATTTTTTTTAAATTGTTATTATTGGGTTGTTGTTGTTTTGATTTTTATTTTTATTACTGGTTGTTTTTTTATTTTATTTTATCAAGTGTTCTTTTGATTATCCATCAGTTTTCACTCTCCCCAAAATATGAGTGTAAAATTATTTTTTTTCAATTTAATAAAGTTTTTTAAAATCTAATTTTTTGATTTTTTTTATACATATTTAAATACAGCTCAAAATTTTTTATAACTTAAAAAAGAAAATTAAAAGTATTTTTTATCAAAAGGAAGTTAAAATTTTCAACAATATAATTTGACTCCATTTTGCTCTACTGCACCATTTTTTGTGATGCAAAACCAAATTATTTTAATCATAGTATTTAATTCTATTCATTATTATATTTTTATAAAGATATTTTTAGTTGTGTAGTAAATCTTAGACTTACTATTTTATTTTATATAAAGTCTTTAAAGTACTAACCTCAGAAGCGCTTTTAACCCAGAAGCGCTTTTAACCTCAGAAGCGCTTTTAACCTCAGAAGCGCTTTTAACCTCAGAAGCGCTTTAAACCTCAGAAGCGCTTTTAACCTCAGAAGCGCTTTTAACCTCAGAAGCGCTTTTAACCTCATAAGCGCTTCTAACCTCAGAAGCGCTTTTAACCTCAGAAGCGCTTTTAACCTCAGAAGCGCTTTTAACCTCAGAAGCGCTTTTAACCTCAGAAGCGCTTTTAACCTCAGAAGCGCTTTTAACCTTAGAAGCGCTTTTAACCTCAGAAGCGCTTTTAACCTCAGAAGCCCTTTTAACCTCAGAAGCGCTTTTAACCTCAGTTAAAAGCGCTTCAAATTATTCAAATTCTTTTGTTAGGAATTAGCATGATTTTGTCAACATATTATATCCAAACAAGAGCTTTACATAATTTTTTTCTTTAGGTTTTTATTATGCCTAGAAGACTGTTAACTTGATTTTAGTTAAAATTTTAGTTTAAAGAAAAATCTTTTGAAAAAATTACTAAAGGTCCTAATCTTTTTTGGTACAAATAAATTAAATATAGTTGTCAAAATACAACATTTTTACTAATTTTCTCAAAAAAATTTAAAAGTTCCAACTAAGAAAGAGCTTTTAATTAAGAAAACTGCCAATTTAAATGATTAAACTATGTTTAATTCACCTAAACAACTTGTTTATTTAAAATCTTATTCAAATCTGGACAAGCAATCATGATTTTTAGGAGAGAAAAAAATAAACAAAATCTTTGGTTTTTTGTCACAAGTATTTTTATTGTTACGGCAAAATTTAAAAATTTCTATCATTTTAATTTTTTTCATCTTTTTATAATTCAGAAACCTGATCATTTACTGAAAATATCTTGTGACCAGCAAAATATCATACAGATTCTGTAATATTTTAAAATTGCCTTAATTTATCAGTGATGTGGAGTCCCAAAAAGGACACCAACTTTGAAAGTCTCAAAAAGTTTATTTCTTTCTGATTTTTGGTATCCAGGAGCTCAAATAATGTAATAAACTTTATAAACTATTTTTGGGAAAAAAATTAAGACCTTTTGCTTAGAGGAGCAATCAATTTTTGAACCTGGAGCCGTTAAGTATAATGACAACAGGTACAGCCTTAAAACCAAAAAGTTCCATAAAAATTTTTTTCTTATAGCAAATCATGTCACCCAACATATTTAGAACTCCACTAGAGACAAGGAAAAAAAGATTTAAAGCAAAAAAAATATAAGAGTTATAAAATATAAGAGTTTATTTCTATTTTCATTATATTTACTATGAGTAAAATATAAGAAAATAGAAATAATGGCTGGATACCACCTTTAAGTTGAAAAATTTACTGTATTAGGCATCCTATACTTTTTGAATATCTAAAATTTAAAAAACATTAAAAATGAGACTATTCTCAGCAGCAGGTAACATTTGTAATGAAAAAAGAGCTTGTTTGTTGCCCGAAATTGGATAGCTACTCTTTTTGCGCCACAATTTTTCTAAATTTTCAGAAATCTTTATATGAGTGATTACTGCATATAAAATTAGGCAAAGTTACAGATATGTGGTCCAAAAATAATTTTATTTTATTGCTTGCTGCGCTTTCATGTGGAGACTTATTCAGAGTGGTAACTTTTTAATATAAACATAAAGAATATTTATTGGCTTTAGTACATATATCGACTATCTTTTAGCCTGCTGCTACAAGGGGGTGTTGCTACATCAACTATTTTATAGTCTGCTTCTACAAGAAAGTGTTGCTACATTTACTGAGAATTTGGCATAGGGCAGAAATTTTTTCTTTTATTATTTCAATTAAAATTTCTGTTAAAAAAATCTCCACTAACGAGAGCGCAACAAGCGAAAAAATAAAATTATTTTAGGCTGTGAAACTGTAGCTTTACCTAAAGTTATATTGTATTTGTTAAGAATTTTGTACTTTTTTACCTAGGTTTATCCATAGTTTTTTATTGCCCTGTAGGACAATGGTTTTTTTATTTAATTTACACACTGTGTCACATGTCTTGATAAATAAAGTAAAAAATAAATTCCGGCATTCCAGCCTGAAATATTATGATTCCCGCCGGAACCTAAAAGTCACAAATTCCAGTACATCCCTAATATATATATATATATATATATATATATATATATATATATATATATATATATATATATATATATATATATATATATATATATATATATATACACACATACATATATATATATATATATATATATATATATATATATATATATATATATATATATATATATATATATATATATATATATATATATATATATATATATATATATATATATATATATTACATATATATTACATACATGTATATTATATTTTATAGATATTATATATATTTTTTATATATAGATTGTATATTTATGTATATATATATAATAAAACTTTTATTTTAGATAACAAAAAGAATCCCTTTTTATTTGATGAGTATGAAATTGTTATTGAGAACGAACCATCAAAGCAAGAAAGGTTAGAAAAGTTAAAAGAAAAGTATAAAAAATACGAAAACTATATGACTGATCAAAATACACAACTAGACAAGCAATTAGAAAATGATTTAAAAAAGATAGATGAGACAAATGGAGATAAAATGTTTTTAAACTTCAAGGAAAGAATTGAGTGTGAACCAGAACAAGTAAGTTTGATAAATGGTGAACAAGTATGTTTAACAAGGTATTACCCCTGAACAAAAAATAGGTGTTCATTGTTTTCATCGTTTTTAAAATAGTTTTGATGCTTTAACTTTTTTTTTGTTTTTTTGTTTTACAATATTTTATGTTTTAGTTACAGCTTTAATATTAAAAAGGCAACTTTCTACATTCAAATTTTTTACATTCAAACGTAACTATTTTAAAAATTTTTTTTCTCAAGGGTTTGATTTGTTTGATGGGTATTTAAATGTTTGAAACATCCAACAAACAATTTTTTTGTTTTATATATATATTCTATAAATAAATCCAAAAGCATTGAGTTGAATAAACTTGTTTTTTTTTTTTTTTATTGTTTTTTTTAATTTTTCATTTTAAGCATCCAACTTTTGATTTGTTAAAAATTTTAGATTTTTAAATCCAGATTTCTTTTTTGCTTTGTTTTTTTGGTGAGGGTTGAGAATTGTTGTTTAACGTATAACTTCTTGATGTAAAGTGAAGACTAGACATGCAGACTATAAATATATGGAAACTTCAAATTTAAAAAAATTTTAGTTTAAATATTAAACAAATAGAGAATAAAGTAAATAAACCTTCATGAAACCTTTGATGAACATATGGGCGGTTTCATGAAGTTTTAATAACTATATGATATTATTTTTTTATAAACTCTAGTTTGAATTATATCATAGATTTAACTAAAAATGTGATCACGTTTAGCTTTTTAAGTAAAAAAACAAGATGGTTGATGTATACAGCCTTAGCCTACAGCCTTTCATTGTTTATCACAATATATGAAGCATCTGTTGGCTGCATCACTAATCTCTTAGTCTTTATAAATATTTTTTTCAACATAACATAAAAATAAATAAAATTTCTACATGTATCTAATATGAATGTATGTATGTATTTTTGTGTGTTTAGATTGTGAGATATGAGTTAAATGGCGAACCATTATGGGTTTCTAGTGAAAATATACCAAAAGAGCAAGATATTCCCTTATGTAAATGTGGTAGCAAAAGACAGTTTGAATTTCAAGTTTGTATTTTATTTTTAACATTGTATTTTGTTTTGTGTATATATTTGATTGTATTTTGTTTGTTGTACTTTATTTTTAACAAGTTTGTATTTCATTTTTAACATGGTAGCACTTGCATATAAAGATAAGTTTGTTATTTATAATCATTTTCGTGCCAATGATTAAGATAAGTTTGTTATTTATAATCATTTTCGTGCCAATGATTAAGATAAGTTTGTTATTTATAATCATTTTCGTGCCAATGATTAAGATAAGTTTATTATTTATAATCATTTCCGTGCCAATGATTAAGATAAGTTTGTTATTTATAATCATTTCCGTGCCAATGATTTTCAATCTTAATGACAAGTACTTTTGGATTTTGGATTTTGCCTCCAACTTAAAATTTAGAAAAGTGCGATCATGGAATACCACTTTTTTTTTCGATTAATTTCTTCATCTATTGTTTTTACAAATTGTATTGTTTATACCTTTTTCATCTATTGTTTATTAAATTATGTTTATCAAATTATTAAATTATTAAATGCTTAAATTGCTTTTATAATTGTAATTTACATTATGATTTTATTTGTTTATATCATATTTATATTTATTTGTTTATAACATAGATCCTTCCACAAATGCTGAACTATTTAGGCGTTGAAACAACCAAAGAAAGTATTGATTGGGGAACTCTAGTAGTTTATACGTGCCAAAAGAACTGTGTTAATATAGACGACCTTTATGTTGAAGAATTTGTTTGGAAACAAGATTTTTCAAACGAAAATCTATTAACATGAAAAATGTGTAATTTTATTGATATGGTGATGATGGTTATAGTGAGCGCCACTAAACACCTTTTGTTAATAACAAAAAACGCATAATTAATAAGAAATACGATGGTTAATTAATTTACAGAGTTGTTACTGATAACGATGTTTTTAAAATTATATTCTGGAGAAACAAAATAAAACTATTTTAAATGAAAATTTTTTAGATTTTCGGTACTTTTTGTATAATAAATAATCTTAATTTCAAGAAATTTTCTCAAGTTTATTATTTCCCCTCTGATGATTGAAAATCTTTATACAATTATTTCATAAAATGATTAAAAATCGTATAAATATTTTCTTAATGAAATGAACCTACGTATAAAAAACAAAGATTTATATGTTATATAGGTCGTTTGTTTTCAACGTGAGATTCATTAGGTGCTTATTGAATAAAATATTTGCTAAGAAATATTTGTTGCTGATATAATTTTTACTGTTCTGTACGAATCAAAAACGGCTTATTTTAAAAACACCGATTTAAAGAATTGAAATGCTTTCTTAACGTGCCTGTGTAAAAACGTGTAATTACCCTATTAGAGAGTTTAAGCATACACGCGTTATCTCCAGGCGGTGTTAGTACAAACGCTAGCAAGTTTGCTACCACGGCAAATTTAAAAAACGTTAAGTATGAAAAACTTTCAATATGCGCGTGTTTTAAGTCATTAATTTTCATGATTTATTTTTAAGTTAAAAGTCCAACAACAATTTCAAGAGCAATTCCAAAAAAATATCTCTAATTAATGAGTATAATTATATAATTAATGAGTTTAAATTATATAATTAATGAGTTTAAAATAATTAATGAATTTAATTAAACTCATTCATTATTCATGTACGTACCTATTCGGGCAGTGCAAGAGGAAAATAAAGGTCTGTTTTAGATCAAAAATCAATAACTTTTTGTTACTAAAGATAAAGTGTTGAAATTTTGCACAAATGTAGAGTAGTATAAGGGGCTTCTAAGGAAATATTTTTTATGAAAAAAATTTAATATAAAACTCGTTAATAAAAATCAAAAAATCTTACAATTTTTTTTTTTTTTTTACAAAAATCAATAACTTTTTTGTTACTAAGGATAAAGTGTTGAAATTTTGCACAAATGTAAAGAAGTATATGAGGCTTCTTACGAAATATTAAAAAAAAAATTAATATAAAACTTTTAAATAAAAATCAAAAACCTCACAATTTTTATTTTGTTTTTAACTAAAACAAAACATGTTCTTTTTAATTTTATTTAAAAACTTTAAAAGTATTAGAAACGACAAAAAATGCTAATTTATTTAGAAAATATATTAATATTAAATTTATATAATAAAAAAACATTTATACGAGCTTTTGGCTAATCTCTAGACAAAAAAAAACTAACGTACTTTTTAATCTTTTAAACAACAATTTTCTTTATATTAGGTTTAATTGCTTTACTAATTTGATTTTTTAATAGTTGCGTGTAATTAAATAATTTCCATATATTTAAACATTTATATGACACATTACATATATATTTTCAAGAGTTTATAAAATGCTTATAGCAATATTCAGAATAGTTTATTACTAACAACTTTTATACAGTGAGTTTTTATAGAATAAATTATAAGTCTCAAATATAACTTTCAAAAGCTGCAAAGTATTTTTATCGAGTTCTTGGACATTTTTGCTGTACGGTTTTCTAATGCTGGTGATGTAGGGATTGGAAGTGTACAGAAAGTATGAAATACGTCTTCATTTGTAGCTAATCTAGAACATTTCCTGGCATGATGAAGGCGAAATTTTTTATAACCTTTTTTACGGCATTCTTGCGCATCTTTTGAAAGTTGCCCGATAGGAAGTACTGCAAAATATTTTATGATACTTTCTTATTGTAAAATTTTGTGCACTGAAGACGGTATAAAGTACCAGCTATAATTACTCAAACAAATGTGGGCAGTTTCTATAGCATATGTCCCGAAACTTTCAGCATTTATCATAACACCTGAGGAGAGAGCTTGTAGCTTGGTTTTTCACCACAAAATGCAAAAATAATTAAATATCCATCAAATTAATTCTCAATAAAAATCGGACAAAAAAACTTTTGTTATAAATAAATAGTCTGAAACAACGATAAAAAGTGGTTTTTTGTTTTCTGACTTTTATTACTTTTTTATCTATAACTTTATAAACCGCACGTATCCGCACCTGATTTTTAATAAATCATATTTATAGACACCTAAGCTAGTAATTAATTATAAAAATAAAGCGTCGAGAAGCGTCAAAGACTGCCAAAATTATCTGTGAACTTTAAGATTTTTTTTTTCTTTCTTACTTTATAGTTCAACTAATTATTTGTAAACAAAACCATATAATTAAAAAAATGAATTTGTTCTAAAATCTCCATAACATGATGCTTTCAAAAATATATAATACTTTATACTTATTCATAAAAAGTTTTATAGAAAATATCTTTTAAAGTTATAAAGCAAACAAGTTTAAATTGAAAATTTTCAAAAATATGAAACGGTAAGGCTTCAAAAATGATCTTTTTACAAAAAATTAGGTAAAATTCCTACATTATAGTAAAGATTGACTATTAAACTATTAAAAAATTTATTCATAAAATTTCAGTAGTGAAATTGAAATTTGAACAAAAAATATTTATGGTACGACTTTGTAGTACTATTTTCCACTGTGCAGTGGTAAGAAATAAGATTTCTAGCGTAGTTTTAAACGTGATGCGTTAGATAGGAAGTTTCCCTTTGACTTATTAATTATTTACGAGAAATTTTTTTGTATTTACCTCGACATAACGCTTGTATGCTTAACATGTTTAATTTAAATAACATGAGGGATCGTCCGTAAAGTATATACGCTTTTATTTCAACGTCCCTCATCCCTCCGCATTTTGTCATACGCTTTTTTAAGTACCCTCCACCTTCCTAAATGTACCTACGTTTTTAACCTACCTACCCAAAATTTTATGATGTTTATTTTAATTTAGCGTCTTAATACTTTTATAATTGATCCATTGCTCATCTCATATACTTCATTTGCAGACCCCTCTTCCACTACGAGCGACATTATGGACGATCCTCTATGGTGCCAATAAAATGAGTTTAAAAATAAAAAATTTTTAATGTTCTTTAACTACTTTTTATTGAAAGTTATTATTATTGTTGTATATTGAAAGTTACATTGATTTTTGTTATTTCCATAAATCGACTGATATAGGGATAGGCGCAGTGAGTGTACATAAATCCGCTGATTTAGGAATAGGTGCAGTGAATGTACATACATTGATTGGGCATGCATTCTTATAATAAAAGAAAAAAAAAATCAACCAATTAAAAATCATTTCCGAGACGGTGCCGTTGCACTAAACACGTTGTAAACAAAAAGAAATAAGAAATAATGATTTAAAGGACTAAACTGTTTTAGAAGATATCAGACCAGCGGACCAGAAACTCCAAGGATACAAAATACAGGTTGAAGAAAATATATGTAATGTAAACTTTTGTTTGTTTTTTTACTTCTTTCTCTCAACTTATCAATAGTCTCTCAAGCTAGCATCACGGCATTCACAATTTCACATCCCAGATACTAGTTGTCTTTTTCTTTTCTTTAGTTTAACTGCAGCAAAATGTATTATCTGCTATACGATTTAAACTATTTAAAGACATTGTTTTTTCGATGCTTGTTCTTTGTGATATGCAGCAGCTTAACTTATACTGTATCTAATAAAACTGATCTATGATGTTTGAAATTTTCCAGAGTTTACATTAAAGTTATTTAATTTTTCAGTTGAAAATTTAATTAACTTTTTAAAAAGATCAAAATGATTTTCTGCCTTGGTTTTCTTCTTTTTAATTTTCTTTTAGTTGCCTCAAGAAGTTCTTTCAGTCTTATCACGGAGGACTGCGGAAGAGCATTTGAAGGTTTGTATACATGCAATTCCGAAATCAAAGTATGACTGGAACACTGTAATAGTTAATCTAATAAGTTTAGAGTCTTCTCGCTGTTTATTTTCCGCAACAAATAATTGTACTTAGAGTGCCAGGGCAGAATTTGAAACCTCCCATTTTGAAATTAATGTCAATAAAACAACATAACTCGGAATATATATAAGTTGTGTGTTACATGATTGGACAATTAAGTAATCGATTTATATTAAAGGTAAAGTTAAGTTCAAAAGATATTTATACTATTTTTTTATATTAATATTAGCTGTTCGCGTACAAGTGAAACAGTTTTTTTTTAAACTCTTTTGTTCCTCTCCCCCTCCCCCATCGATTTGTTAACGTTTAGGTCTGGGTTTTTTTGTTCAAACTATTAAATAATTTAAGATTTAAACATATTTAAACAAACAAATTTTGATAAATATGTAAAAGAATTATTAACAATTGTTGTACTTATATAACCACATTTATACATTAGAACATTTTTTTTGTTGACTTTATTATTTTTTTCTTTTTTCCGAAGTTTCTGATAACAAAAATTCGTAAACAGTTCTTCCAAATCTTCCGCCCAACCATTGTTCAATAGACTCTCTGTTAAAACGATTTTCATTTTCGGAATCTTTTTTTTCGATCATTGGATTAACTTCATCGTTTCTCTTGTGATCTGCAAAATAGTTTTTCATGATTCTTATTTAGGAGTATTTTTTATTGTTTAATTATATTATTATAAATATATTTATATTATTATTTTTTCAATAATTTTATTATATTAAATTCAATATACAATTTATTTTTTTTACTTATTTAATTTCTAGCAAGACAAAAAATATGTTGTAGACATGCAAGATGTGAGATGTGGAAAGGAGGGACATGCAAGAAGTGAGATGTGGAAAGGAGGGACATGCAAGAAGTGAGATGTGGAAAGGAGGGACATGCAAGAAGTGAGATGTGGAAAGGAGGGACATGCAAGAAGTGAGATGTGGAAAGGAGGGACATGCAAGAAGTGAGATGTGGAAAGGAGGGACATGCAAGAGGTGAGATGTGGAAAGGAGGGACAGCCAAAAAATAAAAATAAAGAGCTGTCACTAATTACTGTTATTTAATGTAAGCATAGAGATTAACCGTCTTTTTAGCAAACATTGTTTTGTTACCCTGCGTGTGGTAATGTAACCACATTTTGCTCAAAACCAAGTAAATCATGTAATTTTTGACTTTTTTTTCTATTTTATAAGAAAAATACACTCATCATCCCAGCTAGCACACTTTCATTGGGCAAACGTATGTAAAACCATCGCAAACGTCGGCTCTTTTTTCCGATGCAAAACCAACGTTGATACGATGTCATTTGGTTAATGATAAAATTGTTACCAACGGAACTAAAAACATCTGACAAATTTAAATTGGTCCAATGTATGTAAAAATATCGTAAAAAGTTGATTGTTTTTACGATCTAAACCCAATGTTGATCCAATGTATATATCTCGACATTGATTCAATGTATAAAAATCGACGCTTTTCCAATGTATCTAAAAACATCGCAAAAAGTTGATTGTTTTTACGATCTAAACCCAACGTTGATCCAATGTATATATTTCGACGTAGATTCAATGTATATAAATCAACATTAATCCAATGTAAGTAAATACATTGCAAAAAGTTTATTGTTTTTACGAACTAAACCCAATGTATACTGCCAAACATTGCTATTGCGAAATTATAAATATTAAACCACAATCAATACAAACATGATTTTTGTTGATATGATCAAGCGTCTCTATGTCCCATACTTAATATACATGTGTCAATGTTTATACACATGTACAATATATATATCTTCTCGGCCAAATTGCCTAAGATCAATGGGTTTTATCCTGAGACAGCGGTTCCAATTTGCTATATACCTACGTGTTTACAAGGGTCTTTTAGTATAGCTTGGTATAGTTTTATTATTGTATAGTATAGTTACACTGCCCTTTACATGAGTTGCTTATACGGTACCTTAGAGTGTTTTAAAGGTCTACTGGCCTTGTGTGTTTAGAGAATTATAGTGCGTACAGAGAAAAATAGTGTAAATTTTATTTAACAGAGTGGTTTAGTGAGAGACTAAGGGGTTTAGTGAATACAGGGTATTTTAAGCATAGTGCTACTGGCCGTATAGGTTAAAGCAATATCCAAAATGTTTAAAACTCCCAGCATAGATAACCTAAATCAAAATGATTTAGTAAATAATAATACTGATTACACACCTCTACTAGTTTTGTAGATGTAACAAATACAACAACAAAGAGTTATACCCAAGCAGCTCAAACCAAAAATAATACCAACAAAATACCGATTACACTTAAAAACACCCTTCTCTGTAAACTGGCCATAAAAGTCACTCTTCACGATGTACATTATGCCATTGAAGAAAAAAATTTAGACTGAGACCTCGAAGGAGTCCAAATTATAAAGAAAGGGACAATTTTAGAGATTGTAATGAAAACCCCATCTGCAAAGAACAAAATTTTGGAGGAGGGTTTGACAATAAATGGCTTCCACCATCTTTTTAATTACTCTACGCCAATTAGAGAACCGAGCACCCGCACGGTGTCCATACTTGGCCTGCCTATCGAGGCAAAAACTGCTCAGATTGGTAACGATTTAGAGGAGATGGGGTATGGTAAGAACCTAATTACTCATCCTGTAATGAGAAAAACCCCAAAAAATGGGTCATTATACTATTCAGGCACCCTGATAGCTATAATGGAGAACAATAAAACACCTATTCCTAGACATATAACTGTGAGAGGATACAGGGTTAGAGCTGGACAACCTGATACTGAACAACCTGATACTGAACAACCTGATACTGAACAACCTGATAATGGCCTGATAATGACCTGATACTGGACAACCTTATAATGGACAACCTGATACTGGACAACCTGAGGAAGAGCCTAAAGAAAAAACAGGTCAAAAAATAACAAAGAAGGAAACAATACTAATAGTTAAAGATAGTGATATACAAAATGAGGGTATTAAAAATAGCTTAACCATAGAACCAGCACAGACAATTGAAACAAATGCTAAAACAATTGAAAAAAATAATCTTGTTGATACAATAATTCCCAGCCAAGTCATAACGAACACAAACATCCAAGTAATAGCTATTGAACGAATCAAATGGAGAAAAAAAAGTAGGAAAACCGGTATCTATTCACTTTGAGAAAGAAAATCATACAACAAAAACTCTTTGCATAGTAGAATCAAAAGAAAATGATAATTCTATGAACCTTAATAGGAAAAAAAGTACAAGGATAACGACAACAACAAAAATAAAAACTACAAATACCCAAGAACCAAAATGCTCTAACAAAAACCCTGACCCCCCTGAGTCAGAATCAAACAAAAACTTAGAAAAACAAATAAAAATATAAAACAAAAACCAAATAAAAATACAAAACAAAAAACCAAATAAAAATATAAAATTAAAAAATATAAAAACAAAAAAGAATGGAAAAAAAAATGGCTGTCAAAATACTTACTTTTAATGTAAATGTCTTGAACGAGGACAGAAAAAGGCATCAAATAATGAGATACCTTGCAAACTTAGATTGCAACATTATATGTATTCAAGAAACTCACTGTACAAATGAAACTGAGAAAAACTGGAAAAAAGAATGGCAAACAAAAACACAGGGGTCATCTATATGGAACAATGGAACACCGAGGGAAAGAGGGGTAGCAATAGTGACAAAAAACACTTTAATTCTAGATCAAATAACACAAGATCACAATGGTAGAATAATAGCAGAAAATGTTGAAATAGGACATACAATCATAAGAATCATAAATGTATATGGCCCAAACGACCCAATGCAAAAAGAAAACTTCTACGGAACTATCAAAAAACATGTTAAAAAAAATATCTTATTCCTCGCAGGAGATTTTAACATGGTAGAAAACCCTAACATAGACAGACAAGGGGGTGATAGGTTTAACAAAAATAATACCCATGAGAAAATAAACTTAAGCGCATTCCTCACTAAATATCAACTTACATACATGTATAGAACTACATGCCCAAATAGAGAAGAATATACATACGTAAAAGCAGACGGAACAAATAAAAGTAGAATAGACAGAATATACTGTCCTTTAAATATCCAAAAAACATGCTCTATTATAAACACAGGTTTAAGCGACCACAAAGCCTTTCTTTGCCAGTGTATCATAAAACCTGAAATAGAAAGAGGACCACGATACTGGCATCTCAATGTAACAATTTTAGAAGATGAAGTGTTTGGAAGAAATATTAAAAACGAATTTGAAGAAATGATGCAAAATAAACATGCTTACCAAAATAACAACCAGTGGTGGGATGTTTTCAAAACAAAAGTTAAATCTACTGCAATTAAAAGATCACAACAAATTCAAAGAGAAAAAAAACTAAAACAAACATCCTTGAAAACAAGCTACTTAAAGAAAAAAGAAAAAAAACCCAAGATCAAAATAAAGAAAAAATCCTAAACCTAAAAAATGAGCTTTTATCACTTAAAATAGACAATGGAATATTTACGAGAACTAAACAACTAATAATAGAAGAAGGATAAAAACCATCTAAACTCCTCTTCCAATTAGAGAAAAACAATAAAAAAAATAAAAGGTTATTCAACAAATCAATGATGTAAACATTATTCACCGTAACACCCAAAGTATTTTAAACACCATTAGGCTTTACTATAAAGACCTATACTCAAGACAAAATATAAACATAGACAGACAACAAACCCTCCTAGATAAAACAACATCTTCCCTAACTAATCATGAAAATGCAAGCCTAAACAAAAAATTTATTAGCAATGAACTACTGCAAGCTACAAATACTTTGAAAAAAGGGAAAACACCCGACATAGATGGAGTTCCGGTTGAATTTTATGAAAAATTGTGGCCTTTAACTGGAAAAGAAATGACGGATATAGCCAAAAATAACCTCTTTGAGGAAACTGGAGAAATAAGCTGGTCACAAAGAACAGCCTTAATAAGTCTCCTGCCAAAAGACGGTTACACAAACTACCTGCAAAATTGGAGGCCAATCTCACTTCTCTGTGTCGACTACAAGGTTATAACAAAGACAATTTCTCTAAGAATTATCAAAATCCTTGACAAAATTCTTGCATCAGCTCAAACATGCTCAGTGCCTGGGAGAAACTTATTCTCCAATATATTTCTCACCAGGGATATTATAGAATACACCAACCAAAAAAATTTAGCAAGCATAATAATAACTATAGACCAAGAGAAAGCCTTTGATAAGTTAGACAGGGACTTTTTATGCAAAGTGCTTGAAAAATACAACATCGGAAACAAAATTATTACAGCCATTAAAAGAACAATACTAAAGTCCCAATCCATAATTACCAATAATGGTTATCTTGGTGAACCTTTTCCTGTTGAAGGAGGGGTAAGGCAAGGCGATCCAATAGCTCTAATTCTATACTGCATTGCTGTAGAAACCTAAGCTCTAGCTCTAAAAAATAACGCAAAAATAGATGGCATACCACTACCCGGTAAAAAATAGCAAACAAAAGTAATGCAGTATGCAGATGATACCACAGTTTTTGTAAATAACCCCAGTTCTATAAACGAAGTGTTTAAAACTATACCTCTCTTTGAAAATGTAACTGGGTCCAATATTTACTTAGCTTTAAATAAATTTAGCAACAAACTTAAAAACCTTAAATACAGAGATGTATCTCTTAAAACTAACAGAACCTTTGTCAACACACTACCATTATCCAAAATATGGTATGTTGCAAACGTGTTTCCTATAAATCCAATAATGGAAAAAAAAAATAAAAAAAACAATATCTGTATATATATGGCAAAGTGAGTATGCGGAACCCACCAAACGCGAGATACTCACTACGCCAGTCAAATTTGGAGGTATTGGTATATTGGACGTTAAAAGACAAAGCCTTGCGCTAAGACTAAAACACCTTCTTGCATTAAAAAAACCCCAGAAAAACCACATGATTCTACATATATACAAAAATATCAACATGAAACCTCCTTAATAAAAATAGCCTCCAAAAATTACGAACAATGTAAATATCTTACCGAAAACAACTTTCCTAAAACATTGAACGACCCTTTTTTTATTTAAAATAAAAAGGTGGGTCACCTTTTTATTTTAAAGATATTATTGACCTTATTAAAAACCAAAAAAATATATTCAACATAAAAACTAAAACTTCCAAAAATATCTACGAATTCCTCCTGAATATGGAAAAAGAAAAAGCAATAGAAAAAACAGAAAGATCTTGGGAAACAAAACTACAACAACGCTTACCTTGGAAAAAAATTTGGATGAGAAGCTTCCATTCCTATGCCCAAGGTCCAAGCCAAAATACTCTATGGAGAATAATGCTAGAAAGCTTACCAACTCTGGAAAAAATAAAAGCCTGGAAAAAAAACCGAGGCAAAGGAAAGTCAATGTGCAAGTCATGTAATAAATCCGAAGACACCTTGCATCCCTTCCTTGCCTGTAAGAAAGCTAAAGGTGTTTGGAAGCATATGAAAACGATATACCTCAAAATTCAACCGCAAAAAGAGTTTAATATAATCCATATTATTCTTCAGCTAAATATTCAAGACTTAGGCAAATACAATAAAGTTACAAAACTAATAACAACAATCACACACATAATCACAACCGAATTATGGAGAGCACGAAATAAAAAATTAAAAGAAAACATAGATACACCAGTAAATAATATAATCCTCAAAATCAATAATCAGATTAAATATATATGGAGAATTAAATTCAACAAAGCCAAAAAAGGAAACATTAAAATTCAATGGAAATTCCCAAATTTCAATGGAAATTTGGGAATTTAAAACCCAATGGGAATTCCGCGGTATACGCTGTGCTGTTGGGCTGGCTAACACCCTGAGGATGTATTGCATTTTACATAATAAGATAGAAATACTAAAATCAATGCATGATATGGGTTCTTTCGTATGTATATATTTTTCAATCAATAGACACACCCAAAACAGCAGTTTTTCTAATATAATTAGAGGCATGCGAAAAAAATGAAAAAACAGTTCGAGGTCGAGTAATTTTAAATCTTTAACAAGATTATATTCTCCTCTTATTTACGATCTAAATATAGATTTGCTTCTCATGTGCAATAAAAACTTTGGATACAAAATTTTTTTTTCAAAAGCATACAACGTAAACTAATTGCCTTACCATGTTTGCGTTTTATGGCGAAAAAATAAGCGCGAAAATTATTTTAAGTGAAAAGCAAAACAGCTTTTCGCCAAAACAAAAAGAATCACGTCGAGCAATTTTTTTTTTCTTGTGGAAAACTTCCGTAATTATAAAAAAAATTGTATTCAACTTTTAAATTTTTTTTCTTTTTCACATTGTTTAATATAGCTTAAAAATATTAAAACTAATGGGAAAAAAAATCAAAAAAAAAATCTTTTTACTTGTTAATCCAAATCTTCCGCTTAACCACTGTTCAAGAGACTCTCTGTTAAAACGATTTTCAGTATCGGAATCTTTTTTTTCGATCATTGGATTAACTTCATTGTTTCTCTTGTGATCTGAAAAATAGTTCACAATTTTTATTTAGAAAAAAAAATTGTTTTCTATATATTAAAACGCTATATGCAGGGCCGTCCCAAGAGAGGCCTAGGGTTATAGTTGGAAAAACCTCTTTTTTTACCCCTTTCTGCTTTAAAATCTCATCGAAATAGTCCTCCCTCTATGCAATATTTCTACTCTTTTTTTTTTACTAACAAAATAAAAGATATGTTTGAGACATGGGAGAAGTAAGATGTGAAAGAGTTTAGATTATAAAGATAAAGTTGATAAGCTTATAAGATTATAAGATTATAAGCTTAAAGGTTATAAGATTATAAGATATATAGATTATAAGCTTATAAGGTTATAAAGATAAAGTTGATAAGATAAAGCTGTTAGATTATAAAGATAAAGTTGAAATTTTAAAAAAAATATCTCAATTAAAAGGTAAAAATATTTATATTAACGAAGACTTTTGCGCCGAAACTGTCACAATTAGGAAAGCTCTACGGGAACAGATGTAACTTAAGTTTACTAAATTATGCTTCAAATACAAATGTTCAACATTTTCTAGATACTCTTATAGAATATAACCTAATACCATCAATAAATAAGTCAACGAGAATAACTAAGACCTCATCGTCACTACTTGATAATATAATTACTAACAATTTTCAAAACTGCCGTTTAGGAATAGGCATAATTAAAACTGATTTAACTGATCACTTTCCAATATTCTTAATTACTGATAACATGACACTAAATAATGTCCCTTCAAACACTACAATCTTAACACGACAGATCAATGAAAACTCCTTATTGTATTTTTGAACTCTTTTAACAAAAAATATCGATTTGAATGTTATTTTACAATCCCATGAAGTCAATACTGCATATGAGCTATTTTTAGCGCAGTTCTGTAAACAGTATTTTTTTTTTTTTTTTTTTTTTTTTTCAGCTTACAAAGTTAGTCGTTTTACAATACAATAAACTATTAAAATTACTTTACAAATATATATATATATACAAATCGTGATAACATTGTAAACTAGGTTTAGTTTACTAGTCTAGTATGACATAGCATTTCCTGTTAAAAAAATTCTTATAAAATCCAAGTCTCTTTTAAACCCCTGGATGACCAAGGAACTAATAAAATCATCAAAAAATAAAAAATAACTTTATGATAAATATTTAAGACATAAAACATACAAAAATGAAATAAACTACAAAAACTATAAAAACTTATTTGAAAAAAACAAATAACACTCAAAAAAAATTTATTATACAAAGTTGTTGGAAAAAACTAACGGCGACACTAAAAAAACGTGGAATATAATTAAACAAATAATTGGTAAAAACAAAAGTGAAAAAAATAATCTCCCACAAAAACTTTTAATTGATGGGGAAATGAGTTACGATAAAAAAAAATAGCTAAAGAACTCAACTCATTTTTTCTCGAAGTAGGGCCGAACTTGGCGAGTAAAATTCCGTCAAGTGTGTTTTATGTCTTAAATATTTATCATAAAGTTATTTTTTATTTTTTGATGATTTTATTAGTTCCTTGGTTTAGGTGTGGTTCTGGATGAAAATTTAAGCTGGAGGGACCACATAGGTCTAATTGAAAATAAAATATCAAAAAATATAGGTGTTTTGTATAAAGCCAAGCAGTTTTTAAATCTATCTTGTTTAAAAAACTTATATTTTTCTTTAATTCATTGCTACTTAAATTATGCAAACGTTGCTTGGTGCAGCACAAACGCAACAAAAGTAAAAAAACTGTTTAGTAAACAAAAACAGGCTATAAGGATAATTACAAACGTAGACCGTTTCTCTCACACTAAAACATTATTTAATAAACTTAATATTCTAAATGTATATAAACTAAACCTTTACCATATTCTTATCTTCATGTTTAAACTTGATAAAAAAATATCACCAATGTTATTTAATTCACTTTTTGAAAAAATAAACCACATATACCCTACCAGATTTTCAAAAAACAATTACATTCAATCCAAAACACATTATTCAGCAACCAAATTCTCAATTGCAAATCGAGGTCCTAAGCTGTGGAATACAATATTAAATAATGAGCTGAAATCTAATTATTCTTTAAACCAGTTTAAAACAAAACTTAAGCAATTACTGATGATACATGAAAATGAATTAAAGTTTTTCTAAAAAGCTTTTTAAACTAGCAAACAAAAACAAAAACTAACCTACTAATTACTCTTTAATATTATATTTAATATTCTAAACAATAGTCTGCTATTGTAAATGTATTTCTTATCTTATAAGTTTTGAATTTACAAACGATTTTTTAAGTTTTATTATTTGAAATACTAATTACTAAAAATATTGTAAAATTTTATAATTTCAATTTTTATTAAAAAAAGTTATTGTAAATTCTTTTTGTAATATTAATACTTATATATCATCTTATTTTACTAATCAGTTCTTAAATATAAATACTCTTTGAATTACTAAATATTTTAAACGTTATATATTTTATTTTTTACATTTTGTTAAAATATTTTATTTGATGAATATGCATTTTTTTGGGGGGGCTTAATGATAAGATGAATTTTGTCTTCTTCAAGCCCCAGTCATGTAAATATTTGTTTTTATAAATTACGAGTGTAAATTATTTTCAATCGGCAAATACAATACTAAAAAAAAAAAAAAAAAAAAAAAAAAAAAAAAAAAAAAAAAAAACAAGTACCACAAAGTTTGAATCTTACATTGAACCATGTAATTCTATTATGGAAGAATCTAATTTAAATCTAAGCGAAATAAGGAATGCTTTCAACAGTCTTAAAAGTAATAAAAGTGCGGGCATTGACAAAATTAGTGTGAATGTTGTAAAGTCAGTCTTCGATATCATTGAACCGTCATTATTTCATATTTTTGATCTTTCATTAAAGCTAGGTGTTGTGCCGAAAAAACTTAAAGTTGCCATAATCACTCCCATTTTTAAATCTGGTGACGAAACTAATATTAACAAATACAGACCTATTTCCGTTTTACCCTGCTTCTCAAAATTATTGGAACGAATTATGTACAACAGACTTTACAACTATTTGATGTTAAACAGTTTGCTGTACAGTAAACAATTTGGGTTTCAAAAAGATAATTCAACAAACCATGCTATAATCGAACTAGTTAATCATGTATCGGATGCATTCAATAATGACTATTTTACTCTTGGAGTTTTTATTGATCTGTCGAAAGCCTTTGACACTGTTAACCATAAGATACTTATAAAAAAACTAGAACTATATGGAATAAAGAATAAAAATTTACTTTGGTTTGAAGACTACCTAGCGAACAGGTCACAATGTATTATTTATAATAAAAAAGAAAAAGAAAAACATATTACATGTGGTGTGCCCCAAGGTTCAATCTTAGGGCCATTATTATTTTTATTGTATATAAATAATTTAGATAATGTAGAAAAAACTAAATTTATTTTATTTTCCAAACCTAGTGAAGGTGATGATGTTCCTCTAAAATTACCCAATCTCCTAATCAATAAAACATTTATTAAAAGGGAACTAATCGTTAATTTTCTAGGAGTAATAATAGATGAAAATTTGTCATGGAAACCACATATATAGAATATATAGAAAATAACCACATATATAAAATATATAGAAAATAAAATATCAAGAAATACTTATATATTATATAAAACTAAATCATATCTTAACACCTCTTCTTTAAAAAAAATATACTTTTCATTTGTTCATAGTTTTATCTCTTACTGCAATATTGTATGGGGTAGTACTAACTATGGTAAGTAAAAAAAGCTTCATAGTAAGCAAAAACATGCATGCAGGATTATATTTGGTGCCCACAGAACTTTTCAATGTGAACCTCTTTTAAGAAAGCTCGGTGCCCTAAGTGTCTATAAACTTAATATACACCAAGTTCTACAATTCATGTTTAAAACTAAACATGAACTCTCTCCTATTGTATTTCAGTCTTACTTTAGTGAAATCTAGCACAAGTATCCTACTAAGTTTTCAATTAATAACTTTATTGTTCCAAAAACTAATTCAAAACTAAATTCTTACAAAATCCAATACCGCGGACCGTTTCTATGGAAACATTTTTCAAAATTTATCACAAAAAATAATGATCATCACATCTCTTTGAAAAAATTTAGAAAATAATCTAAGAATCTCTTATTACAAAAAGACTTTGATTTAAAATATCTCTTTTAAAAATAATACACAAATAATATAAATTATCTAAAAAAATAGTTATTGACACTACTTCTCTTTTGTTGCAATTTTAATCTAATTTAATTTTTTGTTGAAAAACTTTAATACTTTTAAATTATTGTTAATCTTTGATATAATGCGTTATATTTCAACATTAATATTTATATAATGTTATTAGTTATATTGTAACTAACGTATTTAAAATTCTTGTTATGTACTTAGCTACTCTTCATTTTTTATATATCAACTGACGATTTTTTAGTGTAAATTTTATGATGGGGCTTGATGATAAGACAATTTATGTCTTCTGCTTGCTCCAGTTCTCTCATTAACACGATTTATTTCATTGTAAATTTTAATATATGACAAAACTCTTTGCTTAAAAAAAAAAAAAAAAAAAAAAGAGTGGAAATCAAAAGACCTTATCAGCAAAACGAAAAGATTTGCGTGGCGCAATTTTTTTTTCGTCTTGTGGAAAACGGCCGTAATTAGGAAAAAAAATTTATTCAACTTTTAAAAATTTTTTTCTTTTTCACATTGTTAGTTTAGCATAAAAATACTAAAACTAATAAGAAAAAAATCTAAAAAAAATCTTTTTACTTGTTAATCCGAATCTTCCGCTCAACCACTGTTCAAGAGACTCTCTGTTAAAACGATTTTCAGTATCGGAATCTTTTTTTTCGATCATTGGATTAGCTTCATCGTTTCTCTTGTGATCTGCAAAATAGTTTATTCACAATTTTTATTTAGAAAAAAAATTTATTTTGCATTTATTAAAAGATCATATGCAGGGCTGTCCCGAGTGGGGCCTAGGGGTAGTTGAAAAAACATCTTTTTTTACCCCTTTCTCCTTTAAAATTTCATCGAAACAGCCCTGCTTCTATGCAATCTTTCTACTAATTTTTTTCCTATTAAGATAAAAGATATGTTTGAGACATGGGAAAAGAATGATGTGAAAGAGTGGAAATCAAAAGACCTTTTCGGCAAAACGAAAAGATTCGCGTGGCGCAATTTTTTTATCTAGTGGAAAACGCCCGTATTTAGAAAATAAATTGTATTCAACTTTTAAATTTTTTTTTACTTTTTCACATTATTAATATAGCATAAAAATTCTAAAAATAATAAAAAAAAAATTTTCTTTCAATCTTTTTACTTGTTAATCCAAATCTTCCGCTTAACCACTGTTCAAGAGACTCTCTGTTAAAACGATTTTCAGTATCAGAATCTTTTTTTTCGATCATTGGATTAACTTCATTGTTTCTTTTGTGATCTGAAAAATAGTTCACAATTTTTATTTAGAAAAAAAAATTATTTTCTATATATTAAAACACTATATGCAGGGCCGTCCCTAGGGGGGCCTAGGGTTGTTGGAAAAACAGCTTTTTTTACCTCTTTCTCCTTTAAAATCTCATCGAAATAATCCTCCCTCTATGCAATATTTCTACTCTTTTTTTTTACTAACAAAATAAAAGATATGTTTGAGACATGGGAGAAGTAAGATGTGAAAGAGTGGAAATCAAAAGACCTTTTCGACAAAACAAAAAGATTTGCCTGGCGCAATTTTTTTTTCGTCTTCTGGAAAACGGCCGTAATTAGGAAAAAAATTGTATCCAACTTTTAAAATTTTTTTTCCTTTTTCACATTGTTAGTTTAGCATAAAAATACTAAAACTAATGGGAAAAAAATCTAAAAAAAAATCTTTTTACTTGTTAATCCGAATCTTCCGCTTAACCACTGTTCAAGAGACTCTCTGTTAAAACGATTTTCAGTATCGGAATCTTTTTTTTCGATCATTGGATTAACTTCATTGTTTCTCTTGTGATCTGAAAAATAGTTTATTCACAATTTTTATTTAGAAAAAAAATTTATTTTGCATTTATTAAAAGATTATATGCAGGGCTGTCCCGAGTGGGGCCAAGGGGTAGTTGGAAAAACATCTTTTTTTACCCCTTTCTCCTTTAAAATTTCATCGAAATAGCCCTGCTTCTATGCAATCTTTCTACTAATTTTTTTCCTATTAAGATAAAAGATATGTTTGAGACATGGGAAAAGAATGATGTGAAAGAGTGGAAATCAAAAGACCTTTTCGGCAAAACGAAAAGATTTGCGTGGCGCAATTTATTTTTCGTCTTGTGGAAAACGGCCGTAATTAGGAAAAAAATTGTATTCAACTTTTAAATTTTTTTTTCTTTTTCACATTGTTAATTTAGAATAAAAATACTAAAGGTAATGAAAAATAAATTAAAAAAAAAAATCTTAATACTTGTTAATCCAAATCTTCCGCTTAACCACTGTTCAATAGTCTCTTTGTTAAAACGATTTTCAGTATCGGAATCTTTTTTTTCGATCATTGGATTAGCTTCATTGTGTCTTTTTTGGTCTGCAAAATAGTTTATTCACAATTATTAATTAGAAAAAAAAAATTATTTTCTATATATTAAAACACTTTATGCAGAGCCGTCCTGAAGAGGGGCTGAGGGGCACAGTTGGAAAAACCTCTTCTTTTTTTTTTATTACCCCTTTTCCCTTTAAAATTCCTTCGAAACGACTCTACCTCTATGCAATCTTTCTACTCATTTTTTTCCTTTTAAGATAAAAAATATGTTTGAGACATGGAAAAACTGAGATGCGAAAGAGTGGAAATCAAAAGACCTTTTCGTCAAAACGAAAAGATTCGCGTCGCACAGTTTTTTTTTTTCTTGTGGAAAACGGCCGTAATTAGAAAAAAATTTTATTCAACTTTGGATTTTTTTTTTTTTTTTTCATATTGTTAATTAAACATAAAAATGCTAAAGCTAATGAAAAAAAAAATTTTTTTTAAATCTTTTTACTTGTTAACCCAAATCTTCCGCTTAACCACTGTTCAAGAGACTCTCTGTTAAAACGATTTTCAATATCGGAATCTTTTTTTTCGATCATTGGATTAACTTCATTGTTTCTTTTTTGATCTGCAAAATAGTTTATTCACAATTGTTAATTAGATAATAATTATTTTCTATATATTAAAACACTATATGCAGAGCCGTCTCGAGGGGGGCCTAGGGTATAGTTGGAAAAACCTCTATTTTTTTTTTACCCCTTTTTCCTTTAAAATCTCTTCGAAACGGCCCTGCCTCTATGCAATCTTTCGACTCATTTTTTTCCTTTTAAGATAAAAGATATGTTTGAGACATGGAAAAAGTGAGATGTGAAAGAGTGGAAATCAAAAGACCTTTTCGTCAAAACAAAAAGATTCGTGTCGCGTAGTTTTTTTTGTCTTGTGGAAAACGGTCGTAATTAGGAAAAAAACTGTATTCAACTTAAAACTTTTTTTTCTTTCTCACATTGGTTAATATAGCATAAAAATACTAGAAATAATGAAAAAAGTAAAAAAAAAAACAAGTAAAAACAACACAAAAAAACGTAAAAAAAAAAAACTTTTTACTTGGTAACCCAAATCTTCCGCTAAACCACTGTTCAATAGCCTCTCTGTTAAAACGATTTTCAGTATCGGAATCTTTTTTTTCGATCATTGGATTTGTTTTATCATTTCTCTTGTGATCTTCAAAATAGTTTATTCATGATTGTTATTTGGAGAAAAAAAATTATTTTCTTTATATTAAAACACTATATGCAGGGCCGTCCTGAAGAGGGGCTAAGGGGCACAGTTGGAAAAACCTCTTTTTTTACCTTTTAAAGTTTCTTTGCAATGGCCCTGCCTTTATGTAGTCTTTCTATTTATTTTTTTCCTAACAAGATAAAAGATATGTTTGAAATATGGGAGAAGTGAGATGTGGGAGAAGAGCGACAACCCAAAAATATAAGAAACTGTTCGTAGTTATTGTTATCTAAGGGATCGTCCATAAAGTACGTTCGCTCGGAGGGGAAAAGGGGGTCAGCAAATGGCGTATATGAGATGGGAGGGTAGTGGGTCAGTTATAAAAAAAAGAGACGCTAAAAAAAAAAATCATAAAATGTTAGGTAAATAGGTTAAAAGCGTAGGTACTTTTAGGGAGGTGGAGGGTACTCAAAAAAGCGTATTACAAAATTTTTAAAAATATCCAAACATGAGAAGAAGTAGAGATTATTCTAGTGTTTTTTGTAGATACTAATACAATAAATGTGAATAATTTCCTGCCCAAAAAACATATTTTTGAGAAAAATTCAAGTAAAAAAAAGAAAGTAAATATGTATAGTTCAAAAATCTTGACTTTTTTACATTACAACTAATTTTTTTTTGGTCACAAAAACTAAATTTCCCCAGCAAAAATTATATAGATAATGATTAACCACTATATTTCGAGTTAGAAAATTATTTGCTGGCCTCTTATAGTGGGTGTTACAAATGGTCCAATGCAGGGGCGGGTCTTGTCACTCGCCTGTTCGCATATTTTCATTTATAAGTAACTATCTTTTTTAATTTTTCGCACTTTAGTGTAATAATCAAGTCTGTAAAAACATTTTCACCTACAAATGTTTACTGGGTTTATTAGCTATTTTTGTCTTGATTTTGGTTGCATTGCTTTTATGCTTTAGAAATTTTGTGCATTATTACTAAATGTTATTGAAAGCTTATCAAGTAAGTTAAAAACAGCTAAATTCTACAACAATATAAAAATTGTTGTAGAGTTTAGCACAGCTGATGTCTGAAGTTATAGCAGTGGATCCTTTAAAAATATAATTTCTTTTATCAATATTTCCATAAAACATTGATTATTTTTATGATAAGTCTTAATATGGCTTTTGTGAACCGTGTGGATCTAATATAAGTAAAACTTGTCAGCATAAAGTTTCATTTAATGAAGATAACTTCAATTCTTTAAAAGAAAATGACTTTAATTTTTCGCTATGTTTGAAGCGAGAAAACCTTGATAGTTAGAAAGCTTTAACGTTAACATTTATATTTCATAAGAAACTCTTGTCACGGAAATATTTTGTAATAGGATGAAGTGTCATTTTAAAAACAAAGTTTTTACTGTGAAATATTTACTTAGAAAATTTGAATGTAAAACTAGATATTTGCTCAAAAATGAACTAATAATAATTGTTGTGATTGTTGTGGCGGTAATCAAAGAACAAAATACACCAAAAACTTATCAAACTCATCACAAATGTGATGGGCAATGAGTTAATAAATTATTTTAATTAACTAACTTATACTAAGTCTAAATTTATTGACAGGTTTTAAATTTTATTAAATCATCTTTTAGTGTTGAAAAGTTATGAATATAAATTTTTTAATATAAATTTTTATTTTATATAAATTTTTACAACCCCTTCGTTTTTGGAAGGGTATAAACTTAACATGAACATAACTTTCGACGTCTAAAGTGTCACGTTTCATGCATCAATAGATACGGACTTAGCAATACCTCCTTATATTTCCAAGAAAATTGTTTTGAAACCACAGATGTACCAGATTGTTCAATTAGACTTAATTGTCAATAAAGCTGGACGGATGAATGCTGAAATATTCATGAACATCTAAAGGCATTTTTTTAAGTTTATCCGTCCAACTGCGAACCACAAAGTACTATTGATAATCATAAACAGTTTCTTTTCATTTCAGTCACATGAATATGCAAAAAAGATGGTTTTGTGATGACAACCATATTTCACAAAAAAAATAATCTTTCAATAGATCTGTTTTCGGACCATTTAAAAGCACATTTAATGCATAAGAAAGGTCTTCTGGATATCAAATTACGTCAGGGTTTCACGTGAAAGAATTATCGCTTTCTTAAAAACATGTGTGTGAAGCTTATCTGTTTTTAAGATTTGTTATTATAGATAATGATAAAACTTAAGATATTCAAGAACCATGCAATAATGTTTAATGTGATGCAGTGAAGGCTCATGTGATGCTAAGAAATAGGTATGAAGTATTAAATAAAACAAAAAAGTATAATCAAACCTTCCAAAATCGAAGAAAGTTAAGGAAAACTTATTGCACAGTCAGACAGTCACTTAAGTATGGATGTCAACAAAATAACAAATATTATTTGCTAAATATCAATAACAATGATTGCGACTGCTATAGTAAGTTTGAAAAATCGAAAACTATTTTTCTTAGCAAGAATTTTATTTAATCATAACTTTATTTATAGTTCATTGTATACAGTAGTTTATAAATAAACACAATAAACTGTATAGACAATACAAACAAACAAAAATATCGTAAAAATATCCATAAAAAATCAGTAACAACTAAAAATAAATGTCCGTATTTGCTCAAAAATAATGATAAGAAAATAAGCTCAAATACTTTTTAAAGTGTGAGGGTAAGTGGTTATACTTTTTGTGAGTTTAGTACTAACAACTCCATTTCTTTTTATGTTAACATAGTTTAAAAAGAATTTTTTTTTTTTTTCACTACTTTTTTTTATGTTCACATAGTTTAAAAACAAACATTTTAATGTAGAGATCAGCTTTCTAAGGTGTCAGAATAAAGAAAGTTCTAAATTTGTTTCTGAAGAGTTTATTTAATACTTAAATTGTTTTAGAGTCATAATTATATTGTCCCATTTCCTCTTTAAAAGTACCATTTCTCCTACTCGCTTATCTTTAAAAGTACCACTTCTCCTACTCGTTTTTCTTACTTTACTCTTAAAATCAAAAAACTATACAGCTTGCTGTCATTCTAAGGGGGTTGAATCTCCGACTAAAATGGTGCTGCAATGGTGACTTGTTTGTTTATTCTTATTTGTCATATACTTAGTTATATAAAAGAGGTATTGGATTTAACCTAGTAGATTATCAATAATTTTTAGTCTCCTACTTCTTCTCATTTTTCCCTACTTGCAGTTTTAATAATAATTAAATTTAACTTTTAATAGTTAAAAAAGTTTTAATCCGCTCAAATTTTTAATCCTTGATTTTATTCTAAAGACCGATTTAATAGACAGACTAAGCTTTTTAAAAATAAATACACTTTTTAGTAAAATTAGAAATTTGTTGATGAGTTACAATTTAGATCTCAATTAAACAATAAAAAAATAAATCAGCAAAAAAAGTTTTATTTAGGCCTCATGCATTATGTTACAGCATGTTATAGCATGCAACCGCACGCTATAACAAACTGTTATTTCTTATTCTCAATTACTTTTTAATAAACCAAGTGTTCTTAGCAGTATTTATTGTAATTATTATGTAGCTATGCAGTTGTACAAAAGTTTTTATAAGCATTAAAAGATTAAAGAATGATGGAGCTTGTTTAAAAAATTAATAAACGTTGATTGTAAACCTTTTGAAACTTCTGACCACAATAAGTCGTAAACAGCTCTTCCAAATCTTCCCCCTAACCATTGTTCAATAGCATCTTTTTTTTCAAACATTGGATTTACATTATTTTTTCTTTGAATAATTTTTCCTTTGAAAAAGTATAAAGATTTCTTTTATCATTTCCGACTTAATATACATGTATATACTACGAAGCAATATGTAATTTATATATATATATATATATATATATATATATATATATATATATATATATATATATATATATATATATATATATATATATATATATGTATATATATATATATATATATATATATATATATATATATATATATATATATATATATATATATATATATATATATATATATATATATATATATATTTATTTATTTATTTATTTTGCAGACCAACTAGAGACACCTTACAGAATTAGGCAGAGCCGAGAAGACGGTGTTTATAGGTGCAGAAGTTATAAGTTTGGCCCACTTAAGGGTTTAATAATTGTCACGAAGCCAAAACTCAGAAGCGCCAACTTAATGGTTTATCTTCATTTAACGGCTGGAGTACACAGATTGCTTTGAGATTTCCAGACGTAGAAGGAGACAACGAATAAGTGACTATGACAAGAACCTCTATCAACTATTACGGTTTTGATCAAATGCTATACCTGCCTTCTTACAGGTTTCGAACCAACCAAAAGGTAGTTAGTAGCCTGTTGGTTTATATAAATTGGATCAATGTTGAGTTGATCGTAAAAACAATCAGATTTTGCGATCTTTTTATATACGTAAAACCATTGTTACTGCGTAAGTTGTTTTTAATTGAGTGGGTAATAATCTTTTCATTGAAATTATTACTTAACACATAAAATTGGATTAACACTAGATTTGTGTCCTATCAAAACTAACGAAACTATATGACAATTTGAAAAAGATTTTTTTTTTTTTTATCTATTCACATAAAATGTTCAAAAAATTTTTTTTCAAGAATAAAAATAGTAAAACTACTTGTAATGGTAAAACTGAAATAAAATAATAAAATGAAGGAAAAGAGAAAACCAAAGTATTACGTTTGTTTCGAAGCTTTTTAGTTTAGTTTTAAGATCCAAAGTCGTCAATGTATTTTTATAAAAAACAATAAAGTTGAAATTAAATAATAGATAACAGTTTTGTATAATATAATAACATCAATGAGTGTTGTAATATCATAAGCTCTACCTAAGTAAAACTTTTTTATTAATTATAAATAATTTCTAGTTAATATGTGCTGATAACAATAAAATTATTATGAATATAAGGAATAGATCAAAAACGAAATAAAAAAGAAGTATAAAACCATATGATTTTTTAAAAAGAACAATTCAAAATAGTTACGTATATCAACGATTGCATTTAAAATTCCTTATTACATTTAATATTTTATATTTTATCTTTGAATTTTTTGTGCTTATTAATGCAGCACCTGTTTTTAGTATTTAATATATTACGTAACTTCTACACATATCATGCATTGATATATATATATATATATATATATATATATATATATATATATATATATATATATATATATATATATATATATATATATATATATATATATATATATATATCATCATCATCATCATCATCATCATCATCATCATCATCATCATCATCATCATCATCATCATCATCATTTCACAACTTGACATATAATTGGGACAATGTATATATATATATATATATATATATATATATATATATATATATATATATATATATATATATATATATATATATATATATATATATATATATATATATATATATATATATATATATATATATATATATATATATATATATATATATATATATATATATATATATATATATATATATATATATATATATATATATATATATATATGTATATATATATGTATATATATATATATATATATATATATATATATATATATATATATATATATATATATATATACATATATATATATATATATATATATATATATATATATATACATTGTCCTTATTATATTACACCTTCTAACATCGTGTGCAATTCTGTTCGCTTTCTCTATGCTATCTTTTTAATAAAACTACTTCTGCCTTTCACTCTAACATATCTTCGTTCTTCCCAAACTCACCTTACTCTCGGTCTGTAGAGCGGGTTATGACGTTCCTTTAGGAGCCGAAACAAGTCTCTGCGGACCTCGGTAATGTGGCCTCCACAAAGCAATTAGCTGGCGGAGGATAAACTACAAAACATATATACATAATGTCTACGTCGGCTCTCTATATATAAGCACTATTGCACCTTCTAACATTGTGTGCAAATCTGTCTGCTTTCTCTATGCTATCTTTCTAACACGACTATTTCTGCCTTTCACTCTATCATATCTTCGTTCTTCCCAAACTCACCTTACTCTCGGTCTGTAGAGCGGGTTATGACGCTCCTTTAGGAGCCGAAACAAGTCTCTGCAAACCTAGGTAATGTGGCGTCCATAAGGCAATTAGCTGGTGGAGGATAAACCACAAAATCTATAATGTGGGGTGTATTGTAAGTATAAACAAACATGATGAGCAATGTTGACTACGTTTGTAAAAATACATTATTTAGGTAACCTAACGAGTTGTATGAATTGCACTTTCTAACATCTATTGCAATATCTGTCCGCTTTCTCTATGCTATCTTTCTAACTCGACTTCTTATAACTAATTCTTTCGTTCTTCTCAAGTTCACTTACTCTTGGTCTGCAAAGCGGGTTATGGTGCTCTTTAGTGAGCGGAACTCTTCTAAGCTAAACTTGGAAATGTGGTCTCTGCATGGCAACTAGCCGGAGGAAGATAAACCACAATACCAACATTTAATGTGGGGTGGGGTTATGTTACGTAAATAATGTAAAACTTTACACGTAACAAGAGGTATTATCAAATTAACTTGATATTGAACATAAATTGCAAATTCTAAAAACTAGTGCAAAACCTGTCCGCTTTCTCCACACTATCTTTCTAATTCGTTCTGACGTTATATCTTATGACTCTTATTGTTTTTTCTTCTTAAAAATACTTTCTTTTGGTCTGCAAAGCGGGTTATGATGCTCTTTTGTGAGCGGAGCGCGTCTTTGTAGGCCTCGGTATGTGTCCTCCATATAGCGTTTATTCGGAGGAGTATAACCCATAATACCATAATGAGAAACTGTCTTTTCAAAATTTGTATTATTTGAATTATTCTTTTTAAAACTAGTTTACTTTTATCAAAAAATAAACTAGTAGACTAATATTATTTGCGCATCTCAAAAGTTAATGAAATAATATCAGTCTAACTGCACATACTAACATCAATTGCAATGCCTGTCCGCTTTTCTCTATGCTATGTTTATAACACAACTAGTTTTGGTTTTTACACTTATTAACTTCTGTTTTTTTATAAACTTACTTACTCTTGGTCCGTCGAAGCTATTTATGATGCTCTTTAGTGAGCTAAACTTGGCTTTGCGGACCTTGGTATGTAGCCTATAAATGGCAATTAGCCGTAGAAGAGTAATCCACAATTACTCAAAAAGTAAATTAGTTTTGAACAATAACTTGATTATTTTTACTTGGACTACGTTTTATTGAGATAGAACTTTTCAATATTTTTCTACCCTCCGATAGGTCCCTGCACTTGTTGTCTGTAGCAAGCTCTTAACTGCAGTAACAATCAAACCTTTTGTGATTTTATCTCTTGGAACAAAATCCCCTGATTATTTACTTTTAATGTATTTTTTATTTTTTATTATATTAATATTATATTTGTTTACAATAAAATGCGTATTTATATGATGAATTATTAAACTCACACATATTTATATGATGAATTATTAAACTCACATTCACGTGACAAGTTAGTTATTTGGAAGTTAAATTCACTAAACTTACCCGTGTTTTGATATTCACTGAATTTTTCAATAATATTTTGAATATCACTTTTTTCTTCTTGCTTCTGATAATAATTTTGTAACAAAACTTTTAATGATCTCGCAATACCGGCGTATTTCTGATTGTCTTCATTTTGACTATCTGCTTTTGCCAGCATAAAAATTGATGTCGCAAAGAGAATAAATGTTAACAATGCCATATTAGTTGCCATTTTCTAAATCTAAGAGGTTATGCAGACAAGTCAAAAAACGACCTTGTTTCAATACGTTTTGCAATAAAGGTTGATATGTTTTCCCCTTAGAAAGTTTTGTGGTCACCTTTATTCTTTGATTCCTTTTCCTTTGCAGTAATAAAAAAAAAAAGATTTCTATAGAGTAGGTGACTTAAAGGCTGCAGCTGTTCCGTTTGTTCGCTTTGTTTATTTGTTTGAATTTTTTCTTTGCAATCTTTATGCTAAATTAATGAGAAATTAATTTTAATGCAAAAGCGACATTAATTATAAATATATAAATAAAATACATTTAATATAAAGAAAACAGAAGTAATTTAAAAGTGATATCCAAATCAAGCAATATACAAAATTTATAAACACAATGAAAATTTAATTACGGCGTATCAAATTTATTGCCAGTTACCACAAAAGCAAAGCGTGTTAATCCCGCCCTCACTATAATACTATTTCTCAGTCCTGAAATAAAAGTATATAATTGTTATTATATTACATTGTTTTGATATATAAATATATAATATATTACGCTCTGTTAATACAATATTTTAGTATAATATATACTTTTATTATTTATGCATATTTTTATTAATTAAACATTTATATTGAGATGAAAGTAAAATAAAAATATTAACAAAAGAAAAGTTTGAACTGCCAAAAGTCCTGAAAAATAAAGGTATTAAAAAAAAATTGTTAAGGTTAAGTTAGCCGAATTTTGGCTAACATAACCTTCGAATTTTTATTTTTAAACTAAAGTTGGCCGCCATTATAACAAAAAGAAAAACAATAAAAATAAAAACTTCTTTTTTATTAAATGAATTGAGGGAAAAAGAGAAACTTATATAATTTATATAAAAAAGAAAAACATTAAAAAGAAATAGAATTTTATCTACTACGCAATATTGAAATAAGAAAATAAACACTTAGAATAGACATTTCTCTAATTCGATTGCGCAACTGATTTCTCAGCTTCAAGAAGAGGCCAATAAGGATAAAAATGTGAACAGACTAGATTCGTAGTTTCGAATAACCTATATAAATGTGTTATTCCAACTCTAGCATTATCAGTCCGAAAAAAGTGAAAAAAGGTGGAAGAGGGAAGTATTGCTGTATATCATTGTGTGGAAATTCATTTTATAATAACAATATATACACAACATTCAAGGCGCTACACAGTGCACAATGGGAACATTTCATTGAAATAGGTGGCCAAAAATATTATCGTTGTATTTATGTGGATATTAAGCCTTATTTGAGTAAAATAGAGACTTAATATAATAATTTTTATTTTTGTGTTAAACTTGCTTATAGACGCATCAAGAAGGGTAGGAAAATTCACTTAAGCTCTGGCGCACCAATTGGATTTTTTATATGTGATACTTTTAGACATTGTTTAAATAATGGATGATTTTCCACGGCTCCAAACTTGTTATGTTCATGCTTAAGTCAAAGTATAATGGTTTGCAAAAAATTTGCGGTGATTGAAGCCTAAGATCAAAAATACCCCAAAAATTAGGCCCCTCTCCCCGCAAATATGAGGGCAATGAGTCCAAAAAAAGATTTTTGCAGCAATCTTATACTAAACTTAAATTCGTTGACAGGTTTCAACTTTCATCGAATAATCTTTTATTTTCTGAAAGTTATGATCATATTAAGTTTACAACCCAATGATTTAAAGTTTTCTTTTCCTGTAGTTTTGCAAGCCACTTGGATGTGTGATCCATAGGATCCTGTAGTTTAACTTTGGCCTTTGTTTCAGTAACTTCAATGGATGTTTTAAAGGTGAGCATTAGTTTTTTATTTTGGAAGTTACTCGAAAAGATAGAAATCTGCATGGTGCTTCTTTATGGGTATTTTTATAAACACTTCTTGAAAATTTGTTATTCAAGAAATATAAATATGCAAAAGCTTCTTCAGACGTCATTCTCTCTTGCAATGTGGTTAGCTTAGAGTAAAGCAATAACAATTCGTAACGCTTTCTTTGTAACGACACTAAATAATTTGACTTAATTATAGTCACATTTTTTAAATGCTTTTCTTTGTGTCACTAACAATATTTTGATGGATTCCGTTTTTGAATCAAATGATATATTTGCTATTATACTTTGGTTCGAGAACTTGATTCATCAGGCCTTTTTGTTGGTCGACCTCTTTTGCTGATTGATTTATTAAACTCTCTTGATTACTTGGTGAATCAACTAAATCAATTATTTTAAAATTTATTAGTTGAGCCAAACTTGAATCATTTCTTTTTTTTATATGATGCATGTCATAGCGCAACATACTTGACAAGAGTTAGTCTTAATCTCTTTCTTAATACATTTCTTTTGTCTTCTCTGACTTGAATCCTAGTAACAATGTATTTCAACCCATTATTTACATTTTCAAAAGCATTTTTTGAAACCTGAAAACATAATATAACATTATATAAACATTAAATTGATTTCCTCCATTATCTTAGTTCACAACAATAAACTTACAAATTTTTTAACAACATTTAGAAACTTATGTGGTTTTTGGTCGATTAGTGGGAGATTAAAAATGCATTTTAGAATTATTTTTTTTTAAATTATTTATGTATTTTAAAAGCATAAACTCATAAAATTAAAATGAAAAATAACTTTTTTCCTTTCAATACCAACACGAAAACAAATTTGCTTTGGTCTTTCATGTCTTAAAGTAGTTTTTTTTTTTACTTTTTGTAATGAATGAAAAAAATTATTTTTATTCGAAGAAGTTTTTTATTTGTTTAAAAAAACATCAATTTTTCAAAATTATTAAGCGCTCAAGATTGCGGATGATCGCAGCTACAATTCTCAGGGTAGTTAGTAGACAATATAGACTAAAAAATATCAAAGTATGGAAAAGGTACAAATTGGTACAATTTTTTAATTCTTCAAAAATTTAGTATTTTTGTGATGAAATTTTTACTTTCAATGCTAAATATTGTAGTACCAGGAAATTTTTTATTTTTTGTTTTTAACGTTCTATACTGTAACCTTTCCAATGATGTGTATATTCTCAATTTTAAATGATCTGTATATTAAAAAAAATAGTAATTACTAAAATCCAACATCTTGGGAATTTTTATCGAAAATTCATTAAAAACATAACTTCAAGAAGCCACTACCGTTGAGCCTGTCACATTTAGGATTTCATAAATTGGAAAATTCTTAGTGAGGGTATTAGTAACAAAACCCTCTATCTAACATTATAATTGAACAGTCACTTTTTTGATTTTTGGCCATGTGATTTCCCACTGTGCAGTGGGCCAGGTGGTGGACCAAACCTTAAAAATGAAAATTGGTTATTTCAAAAACCATATAATAAAACATAGTCGTGATACTCTATTGTCTTATTATTGATTTTATAAATCTATTTTAGTATAATAGTATCTTTCTAAACCACAAAATGTATAATAAATTATTTTATTATTACAAAAAAGTGTAAATTTTTTTAATTTTTATGCTTCACTTTAGTAAGCAGTAACTTTTAAAAAAATACATTTATGTACAATTAATTTTTGTATTTTAACTATTTAATAATATAACTTTACGAAAATAATATAAAGAAAAGATCAACATTTATAACACATTTATAAACTGGCTTTATAATAACGAGGTAAGTTTATAAAATTTAATACTTTTATTTTGTACAAAAAGTTTCAGATAAGTTAGGGAACCTACAGAACCTATATCAAGTACTTGAGCTAGTAAATGCAACGTGTCTATAATCTATTACAACTATATGCATTGCTCCTAATTTCCCCTTTTAAGTTTAATTGGCGTTTTAAAAGTACGAGTTTCAAGTCGTATTATTCGCTTGAAATCGAAATACTTATTTAAAACGTCATGTTTTTTATTCATCGTATATCGAAAAAAGTGGATAGCTGCAAACATTGATATTATTCATTTTGAGAAAAACAATGAAAATTGGCTAGCTTAAGATTTTCAGTTTACGTACATTACGCTAAATCCTATAGTTAATGAAGTTGGAAGACCATGTTGCTCTTTTGAAAACTCATGTGAGACAGAAAAAAAAAGGAAAACTGAACAATGTCATTAACACTTCATTTGGTGTTGAATTACATCATGCAACAAAATTAAAACTTAGGAATGAGTTTAAGTACAAGACTGCTAAAAAAATTACAGAAATTTCAGATGACAAACGTGTTGAAACTCCTAAGAAGTATTCATCGGATGAAGGTCTAGCATTGATTGTTGGTGGTGGCATATCCCCAGTGTTATTGAGCTGAGCATGATAGATGGTAAAATTTAATTAATTTTATCAACTATGACAAACTCGGCACAGAGTTGTCCAGTTTGTGGTATATCTCCCAAAAACATGAACAACTTGGAGGAAGTGTTGAATTTAGACACCGATAATTTAGAGTTTAAATAGGGTTTATCCAGCCTACACGCTTGGATAAACCTTTTTGAGCTAATACTGCACATAGGCTATAAAAAGGAAACTAAAAAATGGCAGGCTAAAACCGTAGCTGATAAAATAGCGGAGCAGCAAGTAAAGTGCCGAATTCAGACCGATTTTATGAACCAACTGGGTTCGGTTGTGGATTTTCCCAAAAGTGGAGGATTGGGTAAGTCAAATTTTATATTATACAAAATATGTATTATTTATACATATAATATTTCAAAATATAAGTCATAATTTTCTAAATTTTTAAATATTGCTCGTAGAGCTTTTGCTAACTATAAATCAACTGCTGAAATATTGAAAGTTGGTGAAACTCTTATATATCATTTTATATTATTTTACTTTGTCATCGGGATATGAAATAGATATTATAAAGTCTAAGGCTTTTTGCATAACCGCTCTAAAACTATATATATCAAATTATTCATGGTACTATATGTCACAATCTGTCCACAAAATTTTGGTTCATGGTCATGCCATAATTGGAAGACAATTTCTACTAATCGCAATAGTGTCAGAAGATGCCCTAGAGGCGCGAAATAAAGTCTTCAGGAACTTTTGGGAACATTTTAACAGAAAGACCTCTAGAAAAGATACAAACCAAGATTTGATTAATAGGTTTCTTATATCTAGTGATCCGGTTATAACATCTCTTAGAAAACTAAAGTTAAGTAACAATCAAAGTTTGCATAAATTTCCCAGTGAAGTTTTAGAGCTGGTGAGAGAATTAGCTCCGTAACTTTTTGATTTTTAATATATAAATTAGTCCAAGCTTTGTTTTCTTTTTTCTTCGCATTTTTTAAATTATAATCATTTTTCGTATAAAAAAACTTAAAAGATGACATTCGGACTGTGGGGGGTTTTTAAAATAAAAAAAACACAATACTTATGACTAGATCATAATTAATCTATAGACTTTACATATCGTCATAAAATATCTTTAAATTTAAAACGTCATGAGCGTTTTATGAAAACTTGAACAACGCAAATGTAAAAAATTATAAATCCGCGTTTTTAAAATTTTTTAAAATTTATTTCTGTTTA